TTTTACTGCAATACTGCCCCAAAACGTGATGACAGACATAAAAAAAAAAAATAAACACATCATGGTAAAATCAATACATTCATCGCTCCGTTCAGAATCTAAAACACACATTATGTTAAAATGATGTCGCTTCGCTCAGAATTTAAAATGTCTAAAATCATCAACATGGTAACTACCTACTGTGTTGGAAAAGTATCTATCAATTTCAAAAAAATATATTCAGCTAAAATGTAAAATAAGAATCCGTGTGGAATACAAACGTAAAAACCCTTGCATCCATAAAATGATTCCTGTGTTTCTATTTACTATATACAGGGTGATTCATGAGGCGTAAAACACTCATTATTTATAAAAACTATTTACTTTTTTCAAAATTTTAGATCTATGCTGTTCTAAAACTACATAAATTCTTAATATTTTTCACCCTTATATTTATTAGGTAAACCACTATCAAATTTTGATTTTTAAATGGCAACCTATATTAACAATATCATAAATTAATAAGGCTATTTTTTAAACGAATTTTCACGTTTAAATTTTAATTTAGTCTCCCAAATTTGGATGGTTTTGAGGTGGTGTTTGTGTATAAATGTGTTATATCATGTCAGTACCACGGCCGCAGCAATTGGGATTTTTGTACTCTAGCGTAAACCATAATACACTTTTCAAATAAATTCAGCAAGTACGATAGTTAAGCCTAAGTTGTGTCCCAAAATAGGTAAACATATTTACACAGGACAAACACCAAACCATCCAACTTTGGGAGACTATATCTCGTCAACGGATTAACGAAAAATTAAAATTTAAACGTGAAAATTCGTTTAAAAAATAGCCTTATTAATTTATGATATTGTTAATATAGGTTGCCATTTAAAAATCAAAAGTTGATAGTGGTTTACCTAATAAATATAAGGGTGAAAAATATTAAAAATTTATATAGTTTTAGAACAGCATGTATCTAAAATTTTGAAAAAAAAAAATTTGAAAAAGTAAATAGTTTTTATAAATAATGAGATTTTTACGCCTCATGAATCACCCTGTATTTAACCCGGTAAATTATAGTTTTCAAATGACGAAAAATGTTCATAAAAGATTTAGTATTCACTTGTAAATGAATAATTTTCTAGGTGAAACAAGCTAGTCGACAAGCCSTCGCACAGTGTCGTTGTCAAGGGAAAAAATTGAAATTGAAAAAAATAGGAGAAGGAAGATACAATATACACGGTCGAAACGTTTTTATCAGGGTAATGATTGTTTTACTATATTGAATTGATTCCGGTTATTGTCAAAAGAAAAACTGTTTCTAGAGCTGTACTTACTACCTACGTAAGTGCGTATAGGTACATTGTAAATTTTAAGCAAAGTGAAGAAAAGTTTTATTTTCGTTTCCGTTAAATTTAGGCATGCCTACATACAGGACGATTCACCAAACAGGCTCACTCCCATTTTTTCCTTTAATAATGAATTTATTCAAATTATAATTTTTGGAATCTTCAAATATACCCAAAGACCATATTTTCAAATTCTTGAGATTTTTTGTAATACTTACTTAAAGAGTGTCCTGTGGCGATACAAACTTCTGTTTTTCAAATGAGAACCCCCTTTTTTACTGTAAATTATTATTATTATTTTTTTTTTATTTAATACGAAATTATTTGCTGTAAATTATATAGTAAATATTTTTTTTTATTTTGATGTACCTACCTAATTAAAAATTTAAATGTGTAGTTTCTTAGTTATTAAGTTGTTTGTACTAAAGAGTAAGAGGATAATAATAATTCTTAAAAATCGTTTTATAAAAGTATAAAATACACGTAGGTAGGTACTATTAAAACTAGTATATTTATGATATTTGGGTAGTTTTTACAAATTATTTATGTTCATAGATTAATAATAATGACTAATATTTTCAGATCCATCATCATAGACCACATTTCTTATAAACCTAAAACTATGGACCTATTATCCTTAAAACACAAAGTTAAATAACTCAACAACTACTCATTAGTCATTAGAATTTTGATTTCAGTACATCAAAATTCTCAAAAAAATTATCCAATCAATAATTCACAGTAAAAGCAAAAGTTTGTGTCATTACAGGACACTCCTTAAATGTTACAATAAAATCTCAAGAATTTTAAAATTAGGTGTTCGAGTATATTTAAAGATTCCAAAAATCAGATTTTGAATAAATGCATTATTAAAGAAAAAAAGGGGGTGAGCATGCTTGGTGAATCACCCTGTATAAGTACTGATTTCAAAAATGTAATACGAAAAATATTTTTAGTTTTATACTATATTTTTACAGTTGACGAATTAATTAAATTATATGAATACATTATTTTTGATTTTTGGATATTTACTATGAATTTTTTACGTGTCTATTTACAGTTTGAACACTTGAAATTAAATTTTATTTAAAAATATTAGAATGAATTATGCATGGGACGATTTTATATTCTTAATATTTAGTTCTGGATAAACAATCAATGAATTTGGGCCACACTGTGGTGCTGGATTGGTGGAATGTACTATTTTTTGAAATGCAGTTTTAAAAATATCATAGAACAATATTAACATAAAACCAAATCCAAATGTATGATTAGTGATTCTCAAAATCCATACAATAATTTTAAAAGAAAAATTTTTCGGCAGAAACAAAAACCAAACCTTTTATTAGGAAATTTGGCAGAAACGATAAACACCTAAATTTTTAAATCATAAATGATTTGTTAACAGTTTAAGTTAGGTGCGCCCCCCCACAAATCTTTTTTTCATATATATTTGACAGATGATGTCTTTTTCCACAGATATACCCCTTCCCCCATATAAAAAAATATTATTTTGTCACTGTCGCTTTAATTACTACAGTCTATTTGTGTCCGATTGAACTGATGAGCACCAGCTTTAGCTATAGTTTGATATTTTTATTTTTTCCGGAAAGCTGTTAAAAGGAACACACATGATGGTCCGCGTTGGAGGTGGATGGGACACATTGGAGAACTTCTTAACACGTCACGACCCTTGTCAAATTCCTGGCCGWCCGACTATCCGGATTCCACAGTCAACCAATCACCGGACGCCATCAGTGGCGCCACCGAACAGTCGGGTCCAGTCACCGTCACAACGCAAGTCGTCTATTCCAAGATATCTTGGGTCAAAGCTTAACTCGCCAAACGCATTCAAAACGCTGCCCGAATCCGCACTTTTAGCACGCTAATGTTTTCCTATACCTAGTTATGTTGTACATCAATTAAATAAATATTTTATTATTATTTTTATTGTATTTTTAATATAACACATACATGTATATATAATTAGATAAATATAACAGAACAAAAATATCATGTAATTAGTTAAATATTGTCTACACATAAATACACAACATAATTCATTTTATTATATTCTTCTCTACTATAAAAACTAAATGGCAAGATCATTCATAAAAAATAATAACTGTTATAACTTATAATTATTATAATAACAACAAAGTTACATATTACCATATAAAATAACTGTACTATAATATGAACAGAACAAAGACAACAATTTAGTCTTGAGTATTACAAAAATATTAACTTGCAAAATATGTAAAAACGAAATAATATTTAACAACTGCAACATAGCTAGAGTAGGTAACTAACAATAAATACAAAATTACAAATAATTATCTGATAGGAAGCTACAACAGAAATGTTCTTTCTAAACTTTGTGTTAATTAACTATATTGTGGTACAAATAATTTTACAAAAAAATATCATTCTCAGATCTCAGAGATTATTAATATATATAATTATTAATACATAGAATTGATTTTTAGTTGGTATAAATGTATACTTTTAAAAAAGGACACAAGATAGTTGAACCTTAAACAAAATACAATCACATTATTGTATTTGTTAGTATGAATTGTTGTAGACGTGTTTTGTACTATAAATAACATTGACATCAATAAACATGTAAAGTTAATGTTAATTTATAAGATCATATTTTTGCAAACAAAAATAAAAACAAAAATATATAATATAAATGTCTATAAATTATAAGAGTTACTCTTAGTATGGCGGAAGATGACATAATATTTTGTGCATTTCAAAATGTAAGATTATTAATTTTGGTTTCTAATAAAAATACAAATATGAATATATTATATAAAAGACTTTTTTCTAAACTTTGAATATTATATTATGTTAAAATTAAAAAGTAACATGGTTTTAATAAAAGTTACAAACAATTTTTAAATAAGCAATAAAATATTTCTATCGGAATATCAAATTTGTACGCGCAATTTTAAGTACAGCAGTCTGTTGCGATATAAATGCATGACATAAGTTGTTAATATTCACATAATAACAAATTTTAAATATGGACGGAACATTCATTTATTTCACGCGATATTATTATTTCATAATATCTAATTTAAATTTCAACAATAAAAATGAGTAAAAAATAATTCACAGATCTATAAATTAAAACCATAGCTTGAGCAAAACAATTGAGTTAACAATTTAATAACTTTAAAAGAGTTAAAACTTTGAAGTTCACATTAAAAAAATATATATATGCACTAATAATAATATGAGTAATATTAATAATATTATAGTTAATGTTATAACTAAATGTATGTATACTAACTAGCTAATTGTGTGTTCTTGACAAACGGCCGACAGTTCCTTCAGCCATTCTCCCAGAATAATTGCATTTATTGCCAAGTCTAACGACTCGTTTTCGTTTTCTTTGTAATACCTAAAATTAAATTTCAATATATACATTAAAAAAGCCAATATTGGATTTTTATGAATTATAAAACTTATTGTTTTAAGTTAATGTTTATACCTATAACCGTTGCTTGTGGATTCTAATATGGCTTCCTTGTTCCCAGAATTTCTTCTGAACATTGCTCCAAATGCTACTGATATACTGCGTCGTTTTGTTTCACCTAAAACCCCATTAATTTGAAAATTGTAATTTAATATTTTCTGGGTTGAAAAAGACATTTTTTTTTTATCGAAATTATTTTATACCTCTAGCAAATGGATCAGGAATTTTATCGTTAGCTGAACAACTGCATTTAGTGTTGCAGAGTTTATTTTCTCGTTCAATTAAAAATGCTTCAGCTTCTATTATTTTTTCCACATGACTACATAATTTTGATTCTATGGTCTGTTTTAAAGAACGCAATATCTGCAAGGAAAAAGCTAGGTTAGCAAAATTTTTAGATTTTGAGCGGAGCGAGGAATGTATTGATTTTACCATGATGTGTTTATTTTTATTTTTATTTTTTTTTTGTGTCTGTCATCACGTTTTGGGGCAGTAAAAGTGCTTCAATTTTCGAAAGTGAATCTAGTTGGTACTTTGGGGAGTCAAAAGTAAAAAATTCCCAATATTTTTCTAAATTATCGGGATTAATCAAACTAAAAATTAAGGGAAAACGGGAAATTTTACGCACAATCAGTTTTCGACAAAATCGATTTTGGTTTATTATGTAACTTTAAAACAAATGACCATAAATACATGAAATTTTTGCTGAATGTTTATATAAGTATATTCTATCCAGCAAGCAGCTTTTAAAAAATTTCGACTTAAGTTGAACTATTTATAGGTATATGCAATTTTCAATCATTATTAGTTTTTTTTAAATTATAATTGATAACAATTTATTTGTTGATTAGAAAAGCTTGAAAATGTAACACAATGCTCCTAACAAATTTTTACAATAGCAGTTGATATATAAAAGAAATACGTAGTCACAATTTTTTTTTACAAACATTCAAAGTTTGAATTTTGACAAAATACATAAAAATCACGAAAATTTGCAAATTTTTTTAAGCTAGAAATTCATAAAATTTTTTTTTTAAATCTAAGATATGAACATTTTTAATAATCTATAATATATCCTAGACAGATAAACTGTCTCTGCTCAAAATTGTTTTTCGTATACAATGATATAATATCATTGGATTCAAATTTAATTCCATCCATTACAGTAACCCACTTATAACCTACTGTACAGCAGAGCGACATCCATGACTTACCCGCTTTTTTATATAATGCATTTATCGACTAATAAACTAATCCTATCTATAGAAGTATAGAGTATAGGACTTTAAGTGCTTACTTGAAACAGAGAACGTATGCATGGCTGAAAAATCATAGAATGATTAAGCAACAATGATTGAATTAGTGGTTTGTTGTACATGGACAGACGAGTCATAACGGCAGTTAAACGTAGGTTTATCCGAAAATCTTGTTCAGGCAAATTTTCAAGATTTGAAAATAGCGCCTCGAGAAATGGACCTAAAAATTGAACATTATAAAACAAAATACTTATCTTATGTATTGACACAAACAAAATTAGACTATTGGTATGCAAATATATATCTTACCCAAACAAGGGTAATGGGTAAATGGTTCTTTTGTCTTGAATGTTGACTGTCTTATAAAGCATGTTGGTGAATCACTTCCACACGGCGAAGAAGTGTTTGAAAAAATTTCATCAGCTGGTCTACTATCTTCAGATCCAAGCATTCTGAAAAATTAATATATTTATTTTATTCTACTTTTTCAGATTTCAAACAGTACTTGTCAATGTCTTTAATGGCTTTAAAACTTTCATATCCACTTGAACTATCGTCAGCTGATAATATGCTGTTTTGATCATTCTCCACTTCATTTATTTTAGTATCAACTAAAAACCAAATCATATTGAAATTATAAAAGTTGATTAGTGATTGTGTAACATAGATTTAATAATTATTATTAAATATGTAACGAACAGTATTTAATAATTAAGATATGAATGCAAGGTACAAAAAGAGGTAACTAAATATATTATATTATTTGAAATTTTGAAAATGAAAAATTGCAAAAATGTATTCATTGGAATAACATCCAATGATAAATTAAATTACCAATGTCTGGAGGGCTAGTCAAATACAGTCTGTACTACAATAAATAAAAAAAAAATTCTATAAATAGTATAAATCAATGTAAGAATGTAACTAAATTTTTTACGCTAAGTAGATTTTGAATTATCAAAAACTATTTTTAAGCATAATCAAGCTTAATTTTTAAAACTTAACTATCAACAAATAAATCAAAGATAATTTGAACAAAATAGAATTTAAAACATAAATGTTGTGCTGTTTTTATTTTAGATTCTGAACGAAGTGATGAATGTATTTTTTTTGTTTTTTTTTGTTTTTGTGTCATGTACAGCATAACTAGTCGAAATAATGCTTCAATTTCAAACTTTGGGGGTGGTTTCCGATGTAAAAGTGAATATCCTTGGACCTTGGTGCACTATAGAGGTCAAAAGTAAACATTTTCCAACAGTTTTCAAAAAAATCGAGAAAAACAAAAAAA